AACAACAACAACAACAACAACAACAACAACAACAACAACAACAACAACAACAACAACAACAACAACAACAACAACAACAACAACAACAACAACAACAACAACAACAACAACACACACACACACGCACACAAACACACACCGACACAAACACAAGCACACAGACACACAAACAGATCGAGATGCAGTGGACAGGAAAACACAAGAAAATGGCACGGCAAAGACACAACCACAAGTGCAATCGCAGCGTGCACAACCCCACAGTCACAACAACACAACGTACGTACCATGTTGGAGGGTGTGAGGACAGAACCAAACACAGCAGGTGTGAGGGATACAAACAACAAACAACAGCAGTGGTCGGCGTCGGGTTGTCTTCGTCTTGGGTGGCGGTGAGTTGGACGACGATTCGAGAATGATTTCACACAATCGCGTATATTTTTTTCTCTCGCTTGATTTGATGAAAAAACAACAACTTGCGGTATGGTGGTCAATAGGATTTGAACTGAGGACCTGAGAAAATGAACCGCGCCTAAACATTTCAGATGCATGTTAATTGAAATGTGCAAAAATTCTCCCATTTCCAATCATTTGGAGTGCTGCTGTGGCCGAGTGGTCTAAGGCGCGAGACTCAAGTTCTCGTACTCGATAGAGTGCGCGGGTTCGAACCCCGTCGGCAGCATTTTTATTGCTTTTTCGCACTGCACTTCACGCCACGCATTGTGCATGCTCTTTGCGGACATGCATCTCTTCTTTTTTTGAATCGTGTTATTCACTCTTTGCTGCGCCTGTGCCGCGCGTTCAAACGTGCACTGTGCTTCACTCAAAGAACACAAGTTGCAAATCAAACAACAGAAGGCAGAGCAATCTGCAAATAACCGGAATAACAGCGGTTGCAACAAGGCCGAAACAACACCAGCGAGCACGCAATGCACAGGATGGGTTGCTTCCCTGGTTCATTCATAGCCTGCTTGCCTGAACCCAATACAACAGCACCTTCACACGCGAACACCAACACTGACGACGACGACGACGACAACAACAACAACAACTTAAACAACAACTTAAACAACAACACACGCGAACAAGAACGGTGGTTGCCTACTCTTGTGGAAATACCCTCCTCCTAGACTTGCTTGATAGCCTTGTACGTCTGCGCACTCGTGCGTCGGAACACCACCAACCACGCCACAGCCCCTGCAACCGCCACAATCAGAGCACTGTACAACAGCAGCAGGTGCGTGCTGCGCTGAGTGGACTGCAGCAGCATGTCGGGCATCATCATCTTCTTATCCTCCGCACTGTCTTTCAGGTCTCTCATCACCTCTTGCTGTCGCAGCTGCGGTCGTAACCGCTCAACACCCCCATGCTGCTGCTGCTGCTGCTGCTTGCCGACTGACTCACCTCTGACGTTGCCATCTTTTTCCATTGCGCCATCACCCTCATCATCCATCCCCTCCCTACGCTTCTCTGCTGCTCCGTCTTGCTTCTGCCGGCGCTGTGCCCTGTGAAGCCCCGCCTTTGGTTTGGGAGACTCGGCGTCCTCCACTACGATCGTGCCGTAGAAGCTCTGCAGGTGCAGGCAGGTGGACGTTAGATTGGGGCGCCCGGCAGTCACGCAAGAGGAAAGCGAACAACGGCATGAAAGAACGTGGACGAAAATCGCAGTGGACATGGAATCGTGCCCAGGCACAGAGATGGAGACACACAGACGGACAGACAGACAGACGGACGGACGGACAGACAGACAGACAGACAGACAGACAAACACACACACACACACACACACACACACACACACACACACACACACACACACACACACACACAACGAACCCTCTGTAGTGTGGCTGGGACCCTTGGCACTGCCGCCAGCCGTGGCCCTGCTCGACCAGCAGCGGATAGCGCTCGAGAAGTTCCTGCCACGTGCGGCGTGACACCGCATCACGCGCCTCCAGCCAGCTGCGACCATGGTGGCAGCAAGAGGAGGAGCGCAATTAGGGTTGGATGGGGCCGAAGGGTGATGTGTGTGGAAAGAAAGCAGCGGATCAGGGGAGAGCAAACGAGGTATTCAAATCAAACACACGTGCACACACAGACATACACAGACACACGCACGCCAACACACACAGACACACACACAGACACACGCACACACACACACACGCACGCACGCACGCACACACACACACACACACACACACACACAGACACAGGTACGGACACAGACAGACAGACACATACACACACACCTGGCAATTCGGGCGGTGCTTGTTGTGATCTGTGATGGGAGCGGGAGGTTTGATGCTGCGCGTGCAATCGCCCGCAGCACTGCCACCTCTTTAGCGCCCATCTTCTCTCTGCTCGCCACCTCCACAGCCAGCATGTGGTGCAGCGTTGTGCTCAGGTCCGACGCGTGCGGGTGTTTGAAATACGCGGCGCGCTCGTGTGCGGGCGGCTGCGATGCCGTTGGCGGCATGGTGTGGTCGAGGCGTGGCAGGCGCAGGCCTGACGGAAGCCAAGCAAGCGGGGGATGGCGGGAAGGGGGAGGGGGTCCGGTGTAGCGGATGCCGGTGTGTTGAGTGAGGTGAAGCGGCATATCATTCGAACAAACAAGGCGGTTGACAAACAAACAACACAAAACAAAACAAACAAACAAACAAACAAACAAGCAAACAAACAAACAAACAAACAAACAAACAGACAAACAAACAAACAAACAAACAAACAAACAAACAAACAAACAAACAGACAGACAGACACACCGCGGCAAAGCAACCCACCGAGTCTTTCTGTGAGTTCGTTGAGGATGAGACCAACAACATCCGTCTTGGTATCGGCGTCGCACCCAATCTCGCTGATTCGTTCCCCGCTCTTGTACACTGCATCACAATCGACACGCACGCGGGGGAGGGAACAGCGTGAATGTGTGGATATGTGCATGTTTTTGTACGTGAATGTGTGTGTGTGTGTGTACATGTGTATGCGGTTACATGCATTTACATGTGAGTTTTCAAAAGGAATCAAGGCAGCAATAGGCCCAACCAAAGGTTGCACCAACCATGCACGTCGCATGCTTCTGGTTGTCCCTCGGCCTGCTGCTGGTCATCATCGCCATCGCTGTGAACACGCACGACACGGGCAACTGGAGGTGGCGATGGCGACGGCCACAGATATGGTGGGGGGGGACACGGTTGGAGATGAGGGAGACGTGAAACGAGTGCATGATCGGTGCAAGCGGGTGCGTACAGGTGCACACAGCAAACAACAGCACGCGAGGGCAGCCGAGTAGCTGTGCTCGTATGAGCGAGCACGCATTCGCATACTCAAGTACATGCGCAAACACACACACGCACACACACACACATACACACACACACAAGTACACAGATACACACACACACACACACACAGGTACACGTACCGCTGGGGGCAGACCAGAAGTGGAGGGTGAGGCGGAGGCCGACGTTGCTGGCTGGAGACTCGATGATGGTGACAAAGGGGATGGGCTCTTCCCGAGACGCTTCCACGACTTGCTCGACCGATCTGACCCGTACACGACATACACGCGTCGTGTGTGAGCGCATGCACATTAGTTGACGTGCTGCAAGCGCAGGACAACACACGGGAAACGGAAGAACACTGCAAGTGTCTTACCACGAGGCACACACACATACGCGCACACAGCGCGCGCTTGAACCGACAGACATACCTGAAGGGCTCGAGGCGTGGTTGATCTGAAAGGAAAGGAAGGAGGAGCTCGGCCACTTGTGTTTCCATGAACGAAATGTCTCCCCGCTCTGCAAATGGGCAGAATACAAACACAACGTCGTGGCGACACGTCAACAAAAGGAGCATCTGTGAGGAGGTGGCAGCGGCCAGAGGGTTACAAACACAAGTGAGAGGGGGGTTGGCAGCCGAGAAGGCAGCATTGAATGCACAAAACACACACACACACATGCAAACACACACAGGCACACAGACACACACGCACAGACAGACACGCACACACACTCACACACATGCAAACACACATGCACACACAGACAAGCCACCACCACCACCATTTCCGGTCTGCATTTGCATGAGCAACTCACGAATGGTCACGGCATCGCCTGGGTTGGATGCGGTTGGTGGAAAGACTTTGATGGTCGGGTATCCCGTGACGTTGTGTCGCTGACACGCACGCTTGTTTGCCTCGTCGCCGCAGTTGATCGCGCCCACCACCAGCACCTCACGCCACGTGTTGAGCCGCTGCGACAGCGTCCGCCACGCAGGCGCAAAGTTCTGGCAGTGGCCACACCAGCTGGCGTAGAACTCCACCAGCCACGCAGCCTGTGCGCCACGCCGCTGCCCTGCGTTGGCCACTGCCTTGCTGCCTCCCTGCCGCTCGCTGCCGCCAAGCACGTGCGCCATGCTGTCTGCGTCCAGGCGCACGATCATGTTGTCGCCGTCATACAGCCCTGGGATGTGCTTTGCGCCCTGCGCCTCTTGAACAGGGCACAGCACAGCCAGCCCTGCCACCGCCACCAGCACAGCCACCACGGCCACGCGCAGCACCAGCCATCTCCCCCTCGCCATCACACAACACAAGCCACTGACTGCCACAAGTTGTGGTGGTGGTGTTGTTGCGTTGCAGGAGTGGGCTTCTTGTGTGTTTGGATTTCTTCCTGTCGCCATTCGTTCGTTTTGCATTGCGCGCAACCACCCTCACTTTCTTTTCCTCTTCTGCTTGTTGCTTGTTGCTTGCTGTCCTCCTCTCATCATCATCCTGACTGCCGAGTTGTCGTTGCTCGCTGCTGCAACCAACGCAACAACAAGCACCAACACCACCGGCACAACCGGCAGACACGTCGAGTCTGCGCCTTGGTGGCCGTCTTTCTGTACCAAGTCACCCATCATTCATTGAGCAAGCGCATGCCAGACGCGCACACCATGAAGCCCATCATGGTTGCGGCCGTGTTGCTGGCGATGGCGGCGTTGCTGATCAACACCACCACCGCGTTTCAACCGAACCAGCCCATATTGATTGAGGTGGACGAGGCGCCTGCCACCATGAGCGTTGACACATCGCAAACTACAGACGCAGAGGTGCGGCGTCCTTGAAACCGTGGTTCTTGTGTTCCTGCGCTCGCTGATGGTGGTGGTGCTTGTCGTTGTGGTTGTTGCCGTTGTTGTTGTTGTTGTTGTTGTTGTTGTTGTTGTTGTTGTTGTTGTTGTTGTTGTTGTTGTTGTTGTTGTTGTTGTTGTTGTTGTTGTTGTTGTTGTTGTTGTTGTTGTTGTTGTTGTTGTTGTTGTTGAGGACTTGATCCGACTTGACCACTTCCTCTTCTGCTTGTTGCTTGTTGCTTGTTGCTTGCTGTCCTCCTCTCATCATCATCCTGACTGCCAAGTTGTCGTTGCTCGCTGCTGCAACCAACGCAACAACAAGCACCAACACCACCGGCACAACCGGCAGACACGTCGAGTCTGCGCCTTGGTGGCCGTCTTTCTGTACCAAGTCACCCATCATTCATTGAGCAAGCGCATGCCAGACGCGCACACCATGAAGCCCATCATGGTTGCGGCCGTGTTGCTGGCGATGGCGGCGTTGCTGATCAACACCACCACCGCGTTTCAACCGAACCAGCCCATATTGATTGAGGTGGACGAGGCGCCTGCCACCATGAGCGTTGACACATCGCAAACTACAGACGCAGAGGTGCGGCGTCCTTGAAACCGTGGTTCTTGTGTTCCTGCGCTCGCTGATGGTGGTGGTGCTTGTCGTTGTGGTTGTTGCCGTTGTTGTTGTTGTTGTTGTTGTTGTTGTTGTTGTTGTTGTTGTTGTTGTTGTTGTTGTTGTTGTTGTTGTTGTTGTTGTTGTTGTTGTTGTTGTTGTTGTTGTTGTTGTTGTTGTTGTTGTTGTTGTTGTTGTTGTTGGGTGCCGAGGATGCCGCCAAGAACGTTTGGTTGTACATCATCGATGGTGTCATGTTGTGCACATGCTCACCCAACACACACACACACACACACACACACACACACACACAAACAACACAACACACACACACACACACACACACACACACAAACAACACAACACACACTACACATCCACCTTCCCTCCCCCCTCCCACGCCCAAATGTGACAGACGCGCGTGCGCCGGGATGATGCGTTGACCACGTACAAGGCGACACTGCCGTTTCACAACCGGCTCCTGATCCATTGGACCGGGAAAGGCAGCAAGATCATGTTTGCCATCGCCTCCGCCTCTGCCACGGGCCCCACCACCCTGTACCGCTCAACCGACTACGGCGCCCACTTCAAGGACGAGACCAGCAAGCTGAGCCGCACCCTGCACGTGAGCTCCTTCCGCCCAAGCCCGCACGACTCACAGCACATTGTGGTGGTGGATGCGGTGCAGTCGCGCGTGTACATCACGGAGAACGCCGGCTCCTCTTTCGACAGCGTCAACCCGGGCTTCACGCTCGTCTCCGCACACTTCAACCCGCTTATTGACGGCGTGATGTGGGCCGAGGAGGCCGCTGGCGACAAGTACTTCCTGCGCGCGAGCAGAGACCGTGGCCGCACGTGGTCTGACCGCCTCACCGACGCCAGCCACCGCGACTGCGAGCTTGACCGTGCCTTCTGGTCACGCCCAGCGTGGCACGCACAGGACAACAACGACACGCTCTACGTGACATGCATTGCGCAGGGCTCGCTCTCCATGCTGCGCGTGGCGTCTGTGAGTGGCAGCGGGGTCCTGCGTGGACAGGACATCACCCCAGTTGACATTGCAAACGACCTCTCCCCAGGCACGTTCAACCTGATCAACGAGTACATGTTCATCTCCTCGGAGGAGGAGAGCAACGACGATGACGACGATGCCAGCCACCACAGCGGCGGGCAGGCGGGCGGCCACGGCAAGCACCGCGTCGTGTATGTGTCGACCGATCGCGGCGCGTTCCAGCCAGCCATCTTCCCTGCAGACGCAGGGCACGTGCTCAACTATGAGATTCTGGACGCCACGGAGGACGAGGTGGTGCTGGCCGTGCTGCACTCGGACACGTGCAACATCTACATTTCGCCACGCGACGGGCGCGAGTTTGTGCTGTCGCTGGCGGACGTGGTGAAGACAACAGACCGCGATGGCGATCAGCTGAGCGACGTGGACTTCCAGCGCATCAATGCGCTCAGCGGCGTGTATGTCGCCAACAAGATCAACAACACCCGCGTCGTCACCCTCATCTCGTACAACAAGGGCGCAGAGTGGGAGCGCGTGCGTCCCCCTCCATCCTCCTCCTCCTCCTCGTCCTCGTCCTCGTCATCCAACTGCATGCTGCCTGACTGCAGCCTGCACCTTGGCATGTCGCGCCTTGCCCTCTATCTCGGCTACCAGTACAACATGCTCTTCTCCAGCCGCTCTGCGCCGGGGGTGATCCTGGGCAACGGCAACACGGGGTCGGTGCTCAGCGTCACGCCCTCCGCCTACATGACGGTCGATGCGGGCATCACCTGGTCCAAGGTGTCCAACCTTCCCCGCGAGTTTGTGACTGTCGACCACGGCGGCGTTCTGGTTGGCGTGCAGCCGTATTCCTCACGGACACAGGCCGTCAAGTCGCTGCTCTACAGTGTTGACGAGGGCAACACGTGGGAGGAGTACATCTTCACCTCCACCCCGCTGCACGTGGTGCGCATGCTCACGGAGCCCGGCGAGACGTCCACCGTCGTGTCGCTGTGGGCGTACAACGACCCGGCTGCCACGGGCGAGGCCCGGCAGTGGCACATCATCTCCATCGACTTTGCGGGCCTGCTCGGGCGCGAGTGCACGGCGTCGGACTACACGACGTGGTCGCCGCGTGACATCAAGAGCCCCGTCGGGTGTCTCCTCGGGGAGCGGGACGTGTTTGAGCGACGGAAGGCGACCAGCAAGTGCCTCAACGGCCGCGACTACGACCGCCCCGTGAGCACGCACGCGTGCGCGTGCTATGCTGATGACTACGAGTGCGACGAAGGGTTTGAGCATGCGGAGGATGATGCTGACGTGTGCCTGCCCGTTGGCGGCGGCAAAGCCACCATCCCTGCCTGCACGTACCGCGGCCAGACCATTCACGTTTCCCGCGGGTACCGGAAGGTTGCCGGCAACAAGTGTGCTGGCGGGCTCGAGCACGCGTTTGCGCCTGTGGAGTACCAGTGCCCGGACCCGTGCCCCGTGTCAGAGTGGAGCGAGTGGAGTGCGTGCGACCTGTGTCTCGATCGCATCACGCGCCGCACCCGTCACCCGCTCAACCCGGACCAGCCAACAGACTACTGCGGCGCCCTGCAGGAGATGAAGCCGTGCGAGCTGGCAAACTTTGACGACGTTGTGTCTGTGTTTCCCGAGACGCTGCACACGCGGGTTGGCGACAGCGTGATTCTGTCTGCGCTGCTTGACAACGTGACGGTGACGTGCAACGACGGCTCCACATCGGGACCGCACCTGGAACTCGAGTGGGAGATTACAGACACGCACGGCAACCCTGTTCCGCACGCGTACGAGCCGTACAACGCGAATCTGCCCGTGGCCACGAACCGCGACGTGTTGGAGAACATCAAGTTTGTCACCGCCGGCGTCTACACGGCAAAGCTCACCATCAGGTGTGTGTGTTGTGTTGTGCTCTCTGTGTGTATGTGTGTGTGTGACGTGTATGTGTGTTGTGTTGGTTGTGTAGGCTTGGACGAATACAGAGTCTCTCTCGCCGTCTTCCCCGCTCACAATTTCCACCACCACAATCACCGCCACATCCCATCCATCCCATCCGTGACACCCCCCCTCCCCCCAAATATCCTGCTGAATTTCACTTCCTGCACAGGAACGGCGACAAGTCCGACTCGGACGTGGCGACAGTGGTCGTGTACCACGGGATGGGGTGGGTTGAGGCTGCATGGCACGGCAGCGCAGACCTCTCGCGCTATTCGCACCACTACGAGGAGCTGATCAAGGAGACGGCTGCAGAGGCGCTGCGGGAGACGCTCGGCCTCAGCACGCGCATGCTGGACGTGGAGGATGTGTGGGTGTACAGCCACGAGGCAACGGTGTACGGGCGCGTGTACCTCACTGACCCCAACGTCAACGCCACCGCGTACTTTGGGCGGCTCGACGCCACCTTGAAGCAGGCAGCAAAGAGCGGAAGCTCGGGGCTGACGCTGACGCTGCCTGGACCGCAGACGTTGAGCGTGATGGCCGGGTCGACCTCGGTCACGCACGCAGTTGATCCCGATGCATACACGGACGACGACGACGGTTCGTGGTTCTACAGCTCGTCCTCCACAACCACGACCACGCACACGCCGTGGCACGAGAAGTCGTCCAAGGCGCCGAGCCCCGGGCTGATTGCGGTGCCGGTGGTGCTTGTGGTGCTGGCGGCTGTTGGCGGCGTCATGTACTGGAAGGCCCGCATTGGCCGCTTCAACAACGTCCAATGTTCGTTTGCACGCATGCAGGCGAGGGGGGAGGCGAGGAGGGGGTGTTTTGTGTTTTGTGCCACACACACATAGACACACACACACACACACACAGACACACACACACTTTGTGTACATGTGTTGCTGACGTTGTGTGGTACCTGTTTTACCTGTTTGCTGTGTGCTGTGTGCGTGTTCAGATCTTGGCGACGACGATGAAGCCGATGCCCTCGACTCTGATGATGACGACGAGATGATCGAGCCACAGCTCAACAGGGTGCGCTCACTGTGGAGTGCGTACGTGCGTGCGTGGAGTGCGTACGTGCGTGTGTTGTTAGGTTGAGTGCTATGGAGTGGCGTCTTCGTGCTTGGCGACTGGTCTTGTCGTTTGTTGCTACTGCTCACGGCACTGCTTGTTGCCCTGGTGTCTGTTGTGTGTCTGCTGCATCCATCAGCGCCCCGACCACGAGATCATTGCTGGCGGCACCAACGAGGGTTTCACTGCCAACGTCGACTACGAGGCGACCTCCCAGGACGAGCACGTGGACCACGACTCCTGAGCCCCTACATGCACTGCTGCTGCTCCCCTCCCTCCCCCCATGCACTTGTGTTCGCGTGCGTGTGTGCGCGTGTGTGATGATCATGGCGGGGGTTGTTGTCCCCCCCTCCCCCTTTCTTGATGGTGATGATGATGCGTTATTGATTAAGTTTCATGTTGCGTGTGGCATGGTTGTTGTCGTCGTCGTTGTTACACCACCAAACTTACGTGTGTTGCTGCTTCCGCTTCTGTCGTGCCTTATCGTGCGGGACTGTGCTTGTTGTTGCTGTTGGTTGTGGATGGATGAGTGTGCACTTGAGACGTGAAATGCGAATTGAGACAAGCAAGAAGCAAGCAAGCAAGAAAGAGAGGAAGAAGCAAGAAGAAAGAGAGGAAGAGAGGAACAAGAGGAGGAAGAAGCAAGAAGTGGCAATTCACTGACACACAACAGACCGAACGATGGCACCGAACAGGGGAGGGTTGGATGCGGTGGTGCTGGGAGGCAGCACGGGAGCGCTGTCAGCCGTCCTCTTGCAGCCACTGGACGTCATCAAGACACAGATGCAGATTGCCCCCTCGAGGTGTGCATGTGTGTGTGTGTGTGTGCATGTGTGTGTGAGTGTGTGTGTGTGTGTGTGTGTGTGTGTGTGTGTGTGTGTGTGTGTGTGTGTGTGTGTGTGTGTGTGTGCATGTGTGTGTGTGCATGCGTGTGCATGTGTGTGCATGTGTGTGCATGTGTGTGTGTGTGTATGTGTGTGTGTGTGTGTGTGTGTGTGTGTGTGTGTCCGTCACTCACTGTCACTCGCTCTCACTCACTGTCACTTACTCTCACTCACTGTCACTCGCTTCGTCACTCACTCACTGTCACTCGCTCGCCCTGTCACTCACTCTGCGACATCTGCTTGCTCTCCATGTGTCCTCATCGGCTTGGTCTTGATACAGGGTCGGCGTGGGTGCGTGCATGGTGCAAGTGTATCGGAAGAGTGGTCCCTTTGGCTTCTGGCGCGGCTTATCCCCGGTACGTGTGCGCTCCGTGTGTGCATTGCTGTTACCGGATCCACTTGACGTCCACTCTGCCAGCCGTGTTCTTCCAGCTCATGCTCTCGGCCCTACAGCGTTCCTTGTCATGTACACACATGCACATATGCACATGCACACTTACACACATTGACACATTCATACACCCATCCCGCCCACCGTCTTGTTGGAACAGAGCCTGGTGCGGACGGTGCCTGGAGCAGGCCTGTACTTTGGGCTTGTGCACAACCTCCAGCTTGCACTGGGTGCGAAGGACACTTCCAGGCTATCAATCACCAACTTGGCCATTGGCGGCGGCTGCCGCGGGGCGGTGGCGCTGCTCCTGCTCCCGGCCACCGTCTTGAAGGCGCGGGCAGAGAGCGGGCTGTTCCAGGACGAAGGCATTGTGCGTGGCCTACGCCATCTCTGGGCACGTGAGGGCATATCAGGTTTGTTCTCGTGTGTGCGTGTACTGTGTGTGTGTGTGTGTGCGCGTGTGTGTAAGTGTGTGTGTGTGAGTATGTACTCCCCCTCCTCTCTCTCTCTCTCTCTCTCTCTCTCTCTCTCTCTCTCTCTGTCTCTCTCTCTCTGTCTCTCTCTCTCTCTGTCTCTCTGTCTCTCTCTCTCTCTCTCTCTCTCTCTCTCTCTCTCTCTCTCTCTCTCTCTCTCTCTCTCTCTCTCTCTCTCTCTCTCTCTTTGTGATTGCGTGCTTGTATGATGCACGGGGCCTCAGTGTGTGTTTGATTGCGATGAATCGATTGGCACACCTCACTCAAGCATATTCCATGTTCACACACACACACACACACACACACGCACACCACTCGTGGCACAGGGCTGTTCAAAGGTGGGCTGCCGACCGTGCTGCGTGACGCCCCCTTCTCGGGCCTGTACCTCAGTCTCTTTGAGGCCTTCAAGACCCATCTTCGCGCGCGTGGGATGGGTGCAGATGCATCTGCGATGGTTGGTGGACTGGCAGCGGGCACGCTTGCATCGTACATCACGCAACCCTTTGATGTCATCAAGACCCGCGTGCAAGTGCATGAAGGACACGTGTCTGCCTGGTCCATTCTCAAGGAACTCATCCAGGTCAATGGCGTGCCTGTGCGTGTGTTTTTGCGTGTGCGTACATGCGTGTGTGTATGTGTGTATGTGTGCGCATGCGTGTGTATGTGTGTGTGCACATGCGTGTGTGAATGTGTGTGTATGTGTGTGTATGTGTGCGCATGCGTGTGTATGTGTGCATGCATGCATACATGTGTGTGAGTGAGTGTGTGCATTTATACGTGTGTGCATGCGTGTCAATGTGTTGGACGCGCCCCTCACACGTGCACCATCTCCGTATCCACAGTCGCCGTCAGCGCTGTTTCGCGGCTCGCTCCCGCGCGTTGTTCGTCGCGCCTCGGTTGCCGCTCTCAATTGGACTCTCTTCGATAAGGTCTGCAGCCAGCGGCGGCGTGGGGTGGCGTGGGGGAGGGGAGGCGTTCGCTGTGTCAAGCAAGTGCTGTTGCACCGAAGAAGGGTGTTGGGCCAAAGGCTGTATCGAAGGCCGTTGTGCCGCCCCATCATCACATCTTAACACACACACACACACACACACACACACACGTGTCCACGCTTTTTTGTTTCGACTTGCTGATCATGTGTTGTCCCTCCCACCACCGCCCGACAGCTGATTCGTGCATGGCACGAGCGGCACTAGCGACCGCCATACATCCATCCACGTCGACGCTTCGTTATCATCGTCACTGTCGTCTTCGTTATTGGCAGGCTAGGACAAGCACAGTGGTGGCACGTGCGTGTGTGTGCACACGGTGTGATGGCAACGCTAAACGACTTATTGATTGAGCTCATCTTCTAATAGAACAATGAACCGCATACGCAAGCAAGCAACGAGGGCGTAAGGGAGCAATCAAGCAAGCAGTCAAGCAAGCAATCTATAGAATGCAAGAGGGAGGAGCGTCACTGCCACCCCGTCATTGTCTATTTACACATGCACACAAACAGAAAGCGACATGAGCAGAAGGCAGGACCAAAACGACAGGTTGGTGGCTCATGAGTCACGGTGACGTGTAACGATTGCGGGTGCGGCAATTGCTCACCGCGAGTCACAAACAAAGGTGAAACGCACTCTTGCGAAAAGAAAACATTGAAAATAACATGAAAACTTTACCACCAACACACAGACACACACACACACACAGACACAGACACACAGACACAGACACACACACACACACAAGCACACACACACACACACACACAGACAGACAAGGTCATCAGCGGTCATGGAGGCTTGAGCGAGAAGAGCATCACGTTGCGGACTCCTGTGGTCGCATATTATCACAGACGCCCTTTGCTCTTCTCGCCAGCTCGCGAACAGCGTGCACCACCCGGTCCGTGCCCTGAACAAATAAAGCGACGCAGTGCGGTAATGAGTTACTCCTGTGTCTGTGTTCGTGTGGGTTGGAAGGGCGGGGGAGGGAGGGAGGAAGGCTAATTGCGTGCGTGCATGTGTGCAAAACCCATACCCCCCGGTTCTCATCATCTCCATCGCCTGACCTGGTGCTGAGCGGCGAGGTGTTGTAGCAGCAGCATCTGCTCCTCCAGTGACGCCAGCGACGCCGCCAGCGACCCGTGCTTGTCATCGCGCGCAAACACACTGGCCATGGCAATTTCGACGGTGGTGGTGGGCGGTATGTGAGATGAGTGATACAGGTATCGGCAGGGGTGAGCGCACCCACCATCCCACACGGCACCGCAACTTGCAAGCGAATCAGGATGGTGTTGGCAGTCTGTGTTCTGCCACATCGGTCGCACCTGACAAAGTCCACCATCTGCTTCGTGTCGGCAATGAGGAGCTGGAGGGTGTGGGGGACGTCAATCTGATCGTGCGAACGCATTACGTGGTGCGCCTGTGGTGCGAGGAAAAAGGGGCGCGGAGAGAGAGAGAGAGAGAAAGTCAGAGAGAGGGGGGGGGGAGGTTGTGTCAGCAGCACGTTGTGTTGTGTCGTGTTGTGTTGCGTTGCGTTGCGTTGAGTTGTAAGCGGGTTGTGTGAGAGAGTGAGAGAGCGAACGTGGAGAGAGCATTAGCACAGCACAAACCGTTTTGAAGAGGCTCTTGGTCATGGCGACCGTCTGCTTGCGATCGTCATCCGTCACAGCTCGAGTCACCGGCGCAGACTGGCAGAGGAGGAGGTGGAGGTGATGATGGCCATGGTGAGCGGGAGACAGGTACACGGCAGGGTGCAGACACGAAAGGGATGTACACACACGCACGCACGCACGCACACACACATGCAACATGCAGTACAGCCACCACATACACTCCACATATGCACACACAACAAGCAGGTACAGCCACCATGACGTACTTGTGTTGTCTTGACGAGGTTTGTGTTTGCTGCTGGCGTCAGGTCCTCATCCTCAGCGTCAACCTCTGGCAGTGAATCAGGCAGCACCATCTTCGCGCCCTTGTCCAGCGTCAGCGTCTTGGACACCTCCTACTCGCCAGTTGGAAGAAGGACAGTGGGTGATGTGCAGTTGAAGGAGGGAGAGATGGAGGTGAGCCCATGCAACGCAGGTGGAGTCATGGGCTTCAGCAGTGGCAGCAAAACGAAAAATGGCCGGCAAAACACAGAACACAGAGAGAGAGAGAGAGAGAGAGAGAGAGAGAGAGAGAGAGAGAGAGAGAGAGAGAGAGAGAGAGAGAGAGAGAGAGAGAGAGAGAGAGAGAGAGAGACAGAGAGAGAGAGAGAGACAGAGAGAGAGAGAGAGAGAGAGAGAGAGAGAGAGAGAGAGACAGAGAGAGAGAGAGAGACAGAGAGACAGAGACAGAGAGAGAGAGAGAGACAGAGAGAGAGAGAGAGAGAGAGAGAGAGAGAGACAGAGAGAGATAGAGGGACAGAGAGAGAGATAGAGGGACAGAGAGAGAGATAGAGAGACAGACAGACACACACACACACAGACACAAGCACAAATGCTGGGTTACCTCTTCGATCGTGGAGCCGTCTGCATACATGGACTCCAGGCGTCGCCTGATGTCCTTGAATGCGGGGCGATCGTTTGGATCCTGCTGCCAGCAGTCCCGCATCAGCTGGTACACCTGACAAGTGGCAACGGCCGTGAGATGGCGACTTGATCACACACAACTAGAGGTAGAAGCGAAAACAGACACACAAACACTAACACACAGAAACACAAGCAAACACACACACACACAAACACATACACACACAAACACATACACACACACAGACAGACACAGACACAGACACAGACACAGACACACACACACACACACATAAACAAACGCGTACCTCTGCGGGGCAGCCCTCTGGCCTGGGCATGCGGTACCCGGCGTCGAGGCGATCGAGGACGGTATACAGATCCATGCCCGGATACGGCGTCGATCCGAGCGTCGCAATCTCCCACAGGCAGATGCCAAAGGCCCTGCAATGGGGAGAGGTAAGGTGGGAGGGGGGTAGGTGGTGTGACTTGGGTGAAGGGGAGCCGGAGCTGGTCACTGGGGAACGAAGAAAGGAAACCACACACGACATTGCCAAGCTATTGGCTGGAACAGGTGTGGTGTTGACTGACCACACGTCTGATTTGATGGTGAAGCGGTTGAAGCTCAGCGATTCGGGCGCCGTCCACTGCAAGTGACGATGACATCAACAACAGGAACACCATTGATGGGGTGAGGTCGAGCATGACACAGGTCAACGGGACGTGGCATCGTGTGACCTGCAACAAAGTCAAATGTAGTGCCATCGAGCCATTGGTGCAGTCATCCATTCGATCCAAGCCGCCTTCTTTTCTCACCCGCACATTCACACTGGCCGCTCACCTTGATGGGGAATTTCGAGCCCTCCTTCGCTGTGTACGGATCCTCCACCTGCAGCAGCCGCGCGAGGCCAAAGTCCGCTGTATTGCGGCGCAGACAACAGGGGTGAGGGCTGGCATGGTCGTGGTACAATTGTTGTCTCAATGGCTCTGAGTATGGAGAGCAGTGCCGCTGACAACAGCAAACACACGACGCAATGAGCACAGGTACACACACCACTACCACCACCACCACCACCATCACCATTTGCGTGTGTTGAGTGGACGCACCAAGCTTGACGGTGAGGTTTTCGCCGACGAGGCAGTTGCGGGCAGCGAGGTCGCGGTGGATGTAGTTGTGCTGCTCGAGATACGCCATCCCGGACGCAACCTGCGCCGCAATGTACATCATCGCCGTGGGATCGATCTGGCGGTGATGATGGTTAATGGTGGTGATGGTTGTGTATGTGGGAGCGCACGCAGCGTGCCCATGGAGGTTGTGTGTGTGTGTGTGTGTGTGTGTGTGTGTGTGTGTGTGTGTGTGTGTGTGTGTGTGAGCGCGACAGAGTCGCAAGCGGGTTGGCGGGTAGATGCGTGGGCGAAAAGGCAGGCAGATACACACACATCACACAAAACAGACATAACACACATGTGGCCACGTTCGGACCTCCTTCTGTGCGTCCTGGTTGCGGAGGTAGTCGAGGAGATTGCCGCGGGGCATAAACTCCGTGATGATGAACAGTGGGGTCTCGCGCGTGCAGATGCCAATCAGCTGCACGAGATTCTCGTGCTTCAACTGCAGCGGTGTTGGTGTGGCAGTGTGGTGGTGTGTAGCGGTGCAAGCGAGGTGAGCTGTAACCAGTGGTGGGTCATGGTCATGGTTACACACCACGCACCATCCGGCAAGCCATTAACAGCGAACAAAGGCAATGCAACACGTGGAGTCACACCAAGCAAACAAGAGCAAGATCAAGAGCAAGATCAAGAGCAAGAGCAAGATCAAGAGCAAGAGCAACAACAAAAGAACAACAACAAGAACAACAACAACAACAACAACAACAACAACAACAACAACAACAACAACAACAACAACAACAACAACAAGAACAAGCAAGAACAAGAAGATCAAGAACAACCTTCTTCATGACGTTTGCCTCCTTTAAGAAGTCCTTGACATCCATGCTCCCTTCCTTGAGGGTCTTCACGGCAATGCGCCGCTGGTGTGCCGTCCACACGCCCTCGTACACCTCACCGTACTGCCCAGCGCCGAGCTTACGGCCCATCTTGATGGTAGAGCGGTCAATCTCCCACTCGTCTGCGGCCACGTCAACCACGGCCGCCTTTTTCTTCTTCTTCACAGGGTGCTGTCGGTGGTGATGGCAATGATGGTGGAGAAGAGACAGGGGAGGGGTGGAGTGGCGAATCAGAGACACGTAATTGGAAACGCGTGGCAGCGCAAACATAGAAGGCACGGGACGGGCGAATGTCACGAACATGCACACAGACACATGTACACAGACACATACATCCACACACACATACACACACACATACCCGCAGGACGTGGACGAGGCCATCCGAGTTTTTGCGGTAGTAGTTGATGAGGTCGCCCAGTGCGGGGAAGGGCTTGTCTTGGGCGACATACACGCCCGCAGGCCCTTTGCTCACTCGATAGTGGAACACCTGCAGTCGGCAGACGTGGCGCACGTGTACAGATGGGAAGGAGGAGGCATGTGGGTGAAATGGCTGTTTGGGCACATCAAAGGACGCAACCGCAGACAAAGGCACACACACACACACACACACACACACACACACACACACACACACACACACACACACACACACAACATGGATTCACAGACACAAATTCCCAAGCAGGCAAGAGAGGAAACACGGACCGACAACCCTTCACCCCCACGCCCCCCCCCCAATACACCACATGCTGTGCAGACCTTGCCGTCGTATCGCATGGAGATTGAGTACTCCCCGGGGCTGCTCTGGGATTCGCGCACGAGGAACGAGCCATCAATGCCGTTGCTCAGCAGAAACTCTGCCGTTGTTCGCGGGATCTGGCACGTGGGGATGTGTGTGTGTGTGTTGGTTGTGTGTTGGTTGTGTGTGTGTGTTGATTGTGTGCGTGTTGGTTGTATGTGTGTGTGATAGAGTGGGGCAGTGTGAGATTGTGAGAACATGTGTATGTGTGCGTGTGTGCGGAAGAAGAAGACAAAGGTGAACGAAAGGCGGAAGAGAAACATGTGAGGCGAGTGGGCGCGTTGTACAGTCGTGCATGACATGGAGGAGCAGCAGGTACGATCGGCAGGCCGGTTCACACTCACCCTGCCATGATACCAGGGCTCCTTGTCCAGGCTCTGCATCGGCGCAACGTAGTTGGACGGGATCCAGCCAACCTCCTTGGTGTCGGCGTGCTGTGCTTGCCACCAGTTCTCATTGTCGTTGCTGTGCCAGGGCGTGAGCGATGTGAGCGACGTGAGCTTCGTGAGTGCGTGCGGACGGCCGTAGGGAACACAAACGCGTGCTCAACACAATAGCACACACACATTTGCACACAACGCGTGCACAACACAATCGCACACACCCTTCTCGCGCGCGCACACACACACCCTTTGCACACACACACACACACACACACCTGATGACGTTGAGGTGATCACCCTTGCGAAAGCTCATTTCGTTCTCTGTGCGTGCCTTGTAGTCATAGAGGGCCACGTAGATTTGCGATTTGCGCGGGCGGCCAACGGTTGTTGCATGCCGGCCACCCAGATCTGCCATGACGAAGGTATTACATCACCGCATGAATTGATGACGAAGCGACGAAACGAAGAGATGTACAAGGAAACGTTTCACACAACAGGTGAAGGGGAAGACGCCACTCACGCGCGTGTGCGGGAAAGGGAGGGGGAAGAGCAAACAAGCATGCATCGTGCTGACCTGGGCTGGATTTTGATGTCATGGAGCGCTCGACGGTGTGTTGGGGCGTCCCCCGCGCTGATTGGGCTGACTGTCGCATGGCTTGCATTTCGCTGGGGGACACGGTAGCTGCAGTGCCACGACGTGCTTGTTGAAACGCGGTTGATACTTGCTGCCGTTGCTTCGGCGTCATTGGTTCCAAGACGCCGGCATCCGACACGGCGCGATCAGGCGGCCCGCCCGCCTGTGCAGTTGCAGGGAACACGAAGCAAATCGCAGACACGCAGCTGAGAGAGAGAGAGAGAGAGGGGAGGTCACGTCACCACACCAAGATCATGCAACAAAAAGCACACATACACGCGCGTACACATACACACACAGGGGCGCGCGCGCGCCTGTGACGGTGGACCGCTACATTGTGACACACAATTGCGCAGTCATGTCATCACAACATCACACAATGCTACCACACAACATAACATGAAACCGGCAGCATTTGGCCAGTGTATGCAACCTTGATGGTTTTGTTCCCCATTGCGTGTTTGCGAGAGCCCGAGACCCTTTCTTGCTCTGGTTGCTGACAAGCTCTTCTGGCGTGCGTGGCAAACCAAGACCAATTGATGTGACTGGTCAGTCACAACGTCGCATCAAGCAGATGCACGAAGGGATGGGCGGTGGTCGCGGTGGTCGTTGTTGTTGTTGTTGGTTTGTGCTCCACTACATTTTATGCTGTCCATTTGCTTGTGTGTGTGTGTGTGTGTGTGTGTGTGTGTGTGTGTGTGTGTGTGTGTGTGTGTGTGTGTGTGTGTGTGTGTGTGTGTGTGTGTGTGTCGTGTGTGTGTGTGTTTATTGCTGCCTCATTGATTGATGTAGTCCAATGTATTCGTCGCAAGTACATCACGCCATTGCTCAACTAGGAAGCAGCCATAGGAATTAACCATAATCAACATGTCTCGGTGCGCGACAGACAACACACACCTACCACCACCACCACCACCACAATAATAATACAAACACACGTACAAGTACCCACACAAGTCTACCATGCAAATCACACGTCAAGTTCAGAAGTACACGCGAGCAACGTGCTGCATAATCTTGTGCAGCAGCTCTGCTGTCTCCTTGTCGTTGTCGTTGTCCAAGAGCTCAGCCCGCTTGTCTGCAAGCCACTGCAGCAGAATCGCCTTGCCCTCAAGCAACCGGAGCATGGCTTTGGAGACAGTGCCAGGCGAGAACACGTAGGCAAACAGCAGCGACTCCCAGTCCAGAACCACGTCCAGAGTTATGGTTTCTGGGTCGTGATGATGCAGCACACGCCGGGGGCGCTCCCGCAGCCGCGTGAAGTAGGACTCAGGAAGCTGTTCATCAGGTTCGCACATGAGACCAAAGTCCACGATGCAGCCGTTGGGCAGGATGTTGTGCGAGCGGATGTCCATGTGACACAGACCGTTCTTCGACAACACAAGGAGGTATTCCGCAGCGGCTGTCAGCGCGTCCATGCCCTTGATGCCCGTGCCTTTTTCGGTCGGCGCCAAATGGGGAAAAGCAAGGACGGGGCGCGACCGCTGGTGCACTTCCACCTTCTCGCCTGGATAGAGCAGTTGCCAGGCTTGCAGCTCGTTGTCTGCCTCCAGTTCCCTGGCAGCCGCGTCTGCTATGGCATCCTCCTCTTCGCTGGTCACACTCAACCCCATAGCAGCCTTTGCTTTCCTGGCAGCCTCCAGTTTTCTGTCAAACGTCTCATAAACAAAAATGCCGTGGCCGCTGCACACCTTCAGCATCTTGCCGTTCACCATTGCAACCACTGCTGTATCTTCACCGCCTTTGTAGACGCACATCTCGTATCTCGTGGCAACTTTGGCAGACCTGGCCCTTGCTCCTTTGGTGCCTGCACGCTGACGCTTGTCCTTCTTGCTGCTGTCTGCTGTGTCAGTCTTGGTGGCCGCCGTCGTGTTCTCGGACCCTGATGCTGTCTTCGTGCTGCGCTTAGCGCTGACAGCCTGCTGCTGTGGCGTGGACCCTGACTGGGCTGCTTCTTCCTTGTCGCTGGTGTTAGTGGCGGTGGTGGTGCTGGTGGTTGTCGTGGAAGACGTGTCCGAAACGTCAGCAGTTGTTGTTGTCATCCCGGGTGCAAGTGCTGGGGTTGAGGGAGAAGGGTCCTCGCGTCCCTGTGTGTGTGTGTGTGTCATGTGTGTGTGTGTGTGTGTGTGTGTGTGTGTGTGTGTGTGTGTGTGTGTGTGTGTGTGTGTGGCATCGTTGGTTGTTGAGCGAAAGAAAAAAGGTGCACGAGGAAACCACGAGGTATGTGATGATGACGGAATACCAAGACAGCAAGCAAGCGAGCAAGACAGCAAGAAGACAAGAAGACAAGCAAGGGAGTAAGTGGGCATCAAATCACGCCTGCGACGGCTACCTGGGCAATGGCGGAAATCTTCTCGTAATGCGCCATGTGCTCTTCGTCGACCAGCCACTCAATGACATGCCCGAGTTTCTCCAACTAAAGTCCACAGCACAGAAAACCAATGTGAGCGCAGGTCCAACGACAATTAGCAGTATACAAGGCAACGGCCAGTCGACAGCAACAACACATGCACACGTGCAGGATCATGTGTGGCAACACACAAACACACACACACACACAATGCACAGACGCACAATGCAAATATCCTCCTTCACTGTTCGCACATGCGATGGCAACTCACGTCAGTGTCGCCAAGTTTTGTGTAGAGGACGCTGGGAAAGGCCTCGCCACCGTGCATCTCCTCGCCCAGCGTGCACGCGTACACGGACACATCATACATGCAGACGGTGATGGCAAAGGGAAACAAATACCCTTTCAACTGACGCCATTCCGGGCCTGCGGACTTGATGGCCTTTGCTGCGTACTCCAGCACCTGCGCCTTGGCAGTATCCTGTGTCCGCCGGCTGTCGCGGGTCTTGAGATCAATCAACAGCGGGTAGCAGTCAACGTTCGAGTTGAGACGCACAGCGTGGTGAACGACAACAGTGGGGTCGGCCTCAAACGACGAGTGACTCTTGACGTTCACTGCTGCGCCCGCACACGCCCTAATCAGGGCCACGCTCATGCGGTCGTTGAATCGCGTCTCTGCCTTACGAAACACGCCACAAAAGCCTGCAGTGCAGCCGTGCAGAGCGCATTGGTTTGTGAGTGAATGAGTGAGTGAGTGAGTGAGTGAGTGAATGAGTGTGTGAGTGAGTGAGTGAGTGAATGAGTGTGTGAGCGAGTGAGTGTGTGTGTGTGTGAGTGTGTGTGTGTGTGAGTGAGTGAGTGTGTGAGTGTGTGAGTGAGTGTGTGCATCAGTGTGCATGTGTGAGCAAGATATAGAGATACGGTCCTTCAAAAGCAGCTCCTACATCAACACATTCGACAGCACCAACACACGTGTCACATGCGCATCCTCGACAGTGGTCGTACTTTTGTGTTTGTCCTTGCGATTGATCGTTTTCAACCACTCGTTGTGCAGGTGCCAATCAGGGCAGAGAAGCTCGGCCGAGAACGGCTGCGCATAGACCGTTCTGTGGGCAACATCCCTGCCCTTCTTCTTCTCCTTGGCAGCATTGCAGGGGTCTACACTCGACTGCAACTCTGCATGATGCACATGAGCAGCCAGAATGAGTTCCAACAATGCGCCGGCAGCGCGTTAGTCAGACTGAAACGTCGCTGTTGCACGTTCTCTTCCACGCCGACGTCACACAGACAGAGTGCTCACGCGCAGCAACTATTGGAACAACACTGATGCGCACACGCACACCCCCCAACCCACCCACACGCACACACACCCACCCACACAAACACAGACACACACATACACACGCACAACGGTACAGTTGTTCACTCAGCCACACATGTAAGACACACCACCAAGCAGCAAGGACAAGGTCAGCGCACCTTGTCGAAACTGCCCCAGCTCTTTGTGCTCGGCTGGTCCTTTGCGTGCGAAATTGTCAAGGCGACGCAGGAAGCTTTCGGCCTCGTCGAAGGTCACCGTCTTCTTGATGTCGAACACACTGCGGATTTCCTGCAGTAGGGTCTTGATGTCTTCCGTGAAAGACACCTCCATCATGTTGTGGAGGTATGCCCTTGTGGCAGGTTTCTGGGGGGCACGCCACACTGGAAGAACTTCAATCCCATTCTTGGTGGCAATTGTTCGGATCTTCTCGGCAAAGGCGTGGTATTGTGAATTGGCGTCTTGCTGGGTGCCCTCCAGAAGGCTCGTGTACGCTGCTGTTGCTGCTTGCAAATATGCGCGCGCAAGAACGCCAACCTTATCGGAAGGGGAAGAAGAAGTGGGTTGAACAAGATATGCAGCAGGTGTGTACAAGTGAGAAGGGGAGAGCACTGTGGTGTGCATGTTGACGGCATTTGTGGGCAATAATGCCACTTTCCAAGAACACACACACATTCAGACACAGCCACAGACAAGACAGACACGCAGACAGACAAAGAAAGGACACTCACCTCGTTTGGCGGCAGGGTTGTGTAGACTACAGGGACATCTTGGGACGCTTCCGTGCTGTCATCGGACGAATCACCCTTGTTGTGTGTTTGTGTGTGCGTGTGCGTGTGTGCGTGTGTGTGTGTGTGTGTGTGTGTGTGTGTGTGTGTGTGTGTGTGTGTGTGTGTGTGTGTGTGTGTGTGTGTGTGTGTGTGTGTGTGTGTGTGTGTGTGTGTGTGTGTGTGTGTGTGTGTGTGTGTGTGTGTGTGTGTGTGTGTGCAAAAGCGCGCGCGTGCGTGTAACGGTGTGTGAGCAAAAGTGCGCGCGTGTTCTGCTTCTAGCATCACACGCTGACGCATGCCACACGCTGCATGCGCTAAAAGCCACGCAAAGCGACGCCCTCCCTCGTCAGTTCAGTGTCTTCCCCTTCCCCCATTCAACCGCCTTTCCACATTCCCTTTCCACCTTCCCACCCGTTCAGTCGTGCAGTCGACAAGCAAGGGAGACGAGGGAGGTGTGCAGGTCTCACCGGGGTGTAGAAGTCCCACGCCGACATGCTCTTCGTGCTTGTTGCTGTCTGTTTGAAAACACGCGGGAAAGGCAGACACGAAAAATGTTGATGGCACACATAGAATTCATCCCCGACCGCCACTGCGTTGTTTGGACCGGACACGTTCTGACCATGAGCGACGACAAGAACCAGGCGTTGGTGGAGGAGAACAAGCAGCTGCGGCAATGCCTGCGCGACGTGCTTGGTAAGTGAGCGCGCGCATATGTGCATGTGTGCATGTGTGTGTGTGCGTGTGTACACATGTACGCGTTTGTGGACGATAATTTGTGTGTGTGTGTGTGTGCGCGTGTACGCGGTCGGGAACGATAGTTTGTGTGTGTGTGTGTGTGTGTGTGTGTGTGTGCGGATTTGTGTGCCACTTTGTAAGCCAACCCTGATGTTGCACAACGTTTGGCATCAGATGAGGTGCCTGAAGCGAAGCGGGCAAAGATTGAGGCGCTGCTGGGCGCATCCAGCTCCTCTGCTTCATCAGCGAACACATCTTCAACAGAGAAGAAGAAGACGAAGGACAACAAGAAGAAGACCAAGCAGAAGCACAGCGAGATCATCTCGTCATCCTCGTCCAGCAGCAACTCGAGCAGCAGCAATGCCAGTGCGCAGGCAAGTCCGAAGAAGCCAGACCAGGAAAGCATCCAGCCCACAAAGGATGCGGAAGGCGGGCTCCACTTTTCTCTCGACGCAAAGCGTCGTGTCTCCGTCACCGTCTTCAAGGGCAATGTTCTCGGTGAGTCGTACATTGTGCGCGCGCGGTGTGTGTGTGTGTGTGTTTGTGTTTGTGTTTGTGTTTGTGTGTGTGTTTATGTGTGTGTGTGTGTGCCTGTGTGCGTTTGTGTGTGCCTGTCTGTGTGTGTGCCTGTGTGCGTTTGTGTGTGTTTATTTCTCGCTCTGTGGATACGGGAGTGTTTATGACATGACTGCGCTTACGCTTTGGCGTGCTGCGCTGGCCGTTTGCTGTTCACTGCACAAATCTGCAGTTGGACTGAGAGAGTGGTATGAGAAGGACGGCAAGACCTTACCTGGCAAAGGCGTCTCGCTCAAGGTGGCAAAGCGTGTGTGTGTTTGGTACTGCATGAGTTGCACAATCGCCCAAGCTCAAACGTGTACAAATACACACTCACACGCACATACACACACACACGCACACACGCACAAACACACACGCACACACGCACATACACACACGCACGCACACACACACACGAGCAAATTCACAACCCTACTGCTTGCCTTCTTTGGTTTCTGCGTGACTGGTGCACAGGCTCCCGAGTGGAAGTCGCTGGTGAAGAACGCAAAGACGGCGACAGAGGCGTTTGAAAAGCAGAACTTTGACTTTGTCACAGGTGCACGTGTGTGGGCAAGTGCATAGTGTATGTGCACGAGAGAGTGTGTGTGTCAGTGTGTGCACGTGCTGCTTGGCCAACTTTGCATGAGCCACTGGTCATTTATTCCAACTCATGTTGGTTGTAATCATGTGTGGCAGAGTTGGGAAAGACATGGAAGGGCCAGAAACGGCTCAGCCTTCGCTCGTACAAGGGAAAGAGCTTCTGTAAGTCACAACAGATGTGTGTGTGTGTTGCAAGTGTACACGTGGTGTGAACGTTGTCATTTGAATGTCTTGCATTGCCCGAGCGACCAATTTCTAAACACACACACACATACACACACATGCACACATGCACGTCTTGCAGTCGATGTGCGGGAGCATTATGAAGACAAGGCGGGCGAAATCAAACCAAGTGAGTGATGCACTGTGTATGTGCGCGCACGCGTGTGGTATGTGCTTGCTTGTGTCTGTGTACTTTTGGACCCTGCAGGTGAGGTTGCAAGACCGAGGCTTGCAGTGCTCACAGACACCTCCTTGTTGTCGTCGCTGTTGCCATTGCCGCTGCTGCTGCTGCCTTGTGCGACCTGTGCTTTCATTCTCCCCGCCTTGTTCAGCTCACCGTCCCCCTTCTACCTCCTTTTGCACCACATCCTCGACCACGCTGCAGCCCGCAAAGGCGCCACGCTGTCCGATGCCGTGTGGAAGCGGCTGTGCACGCTAATGCCGCACGTCGACAAGGCCGTGGCGCAGCTCAGCGGCAACACTGATGACGACGACAGCGACGGCGACAATTGAGATGTTGCACTGTGTCGGCGTGAGGCAACACGCACAGAGTGCATAGAGAGAAGCAGAGAGACAGACAGACACAGACAGAGAGACAGACAGACAGAGTGAGTGAGAGAGGGAGACAGAGAGAGAGAGAGCAAGCAATCACACAAACACTTGACTGTTGACGAACATTAAAGGAAGTCATGGAAAATCTTCTGGCCGCGTTTGCGGGAACGCTGACGACTTGGGCGGTTACGGCGCTGGGTGAGAGGAATGTGGGTGGTGGTTTGCTTGCTTGGTTGTTGTAGCTTTGGTGTGTGTGGTGATTGGTGTGCTTGGCTGCGTGTTGATGAGGCGATCCTGGCAGTGGTCACCACCACCAACAACCACTCAGCGCACTAAATAAGGTTACCATGAATGAATGCGTTGTCCTTGTTCGTAGGTGCCGCGGTCGTGTTCTTCGCGCAGCCGTCACAAAAGTTTCTGGATGGTTGCCTTGGGTTTGCCGCTGGCGTGATGCTGGCGGCATCGTACTGGTCTCTCCTTGCCCCTGCCATCGAGATTGCCGACACATCTGGCGCCTACGGCGTGGTGCGTTTGTGTGTGTGTGCGTGTTTGCATGTGCGTGCTTGTGTGCTTGTGTGTGTGTGTGATTGTGTGTCTTGTTTGTACATGTGTGTAAGTGCTTGTGTGTGATTGTGTGTGCTGGTGCTTTCGTTGCTTGTCCACATGCATGCATTCGCGCTTCTTAACGTTTACCTTGGCATCCACTCTCACACTCCCACACTCTCACACACACACACGAACATACACACATGGACATTGATACACGTGCATTCGCATGACAGTGGTCCTTTGTGCCGGCGGCTGTGGGTTTCCTGTTTGGCGCATGGTTTGTGTACATTGCAGATAAGCTGTTCCCAGCGGACCTGTTCATGCTGGCGGACGAGAACAAGAAGGACGACGATGGCGCGTCGAGTATGGGCCAAGGTGGGAACCGCAGGCAGTCTGGTACCGCGTCGTCTGCTCGCAAAAACCCATCGGAAGGCAAAGCCATGCGCCAGCGCTACATGAGCAAGGCAGAGTGCGTCTGTGCGTGGTATCTGCGTTCTTCTATGTGCCTTGGTTTGTGGATCTGGCCCCTTTCATTACCGGAGTCCTTTGCAGCCCTCAGTTCGGGCAATACTCACCAATTTCAACGCGCACACCACCTCACTTTTACACACATACACACATACATACATACAAACACACACACATACGCACACACTCACACACACTCACACACTCACATACATACACGCACACACTCACACACACACACTCACACATACACACTCACACACACACACAGCTTGATGGAATCGCAAGCAGATGAAGCTCATGGGTCTGGGGAGGGAGGCACAGCAGCCACAGCAGATGGTGCACACGTGCTGTCCTCGCCCGCAAAGCGGTGGCGCCGCACACTGCTTCTCGCCATCGCCGTCACTGTCCACAACATCCCGGGTCAGTTGGGTTCATGTGCACACGTGCGCATGTGCGCGCAGACATTGTTGGCCGCACCCATTCGCCTTGCTCGTTATTCTCACCCGCTGCGCTGTACACATCATCATCACCACCACCACCACCTTCTGCTGGTGCCTGAGCAGAGGGCCTTGCTGTTGGGGTTGGGTTTGGCTCCATTGGTCGCTCGCCCTCCGCCACCTTTGCCGGCGCCTGGGCCCTCGCTGTCGGCATCGCAATCCAGGTGCTGCTGCTGTGGCGTGATGGTGCTGCTGGGGGAAATAGAGTTGCAAGGAGTGGCACGCAAAGCGAGGATGGCAAGCAGTAGTTCAATCATGGCGCATGCCACGTGCGCGTCGTGAGCGTGAAATTCCTTGCACTCACCCGTCACCATACCCATTCCGCGTGGCGTGGTGCTGTTATCGGTTCATGTGTGTGATTGCAGAACTTTCCTGAAGGCATCGCCGTCTCGCTTCCGCTGCACCGCGCCGGGTTCTCAAAGTGGCGCAGCTTCTGGTGCGTGCGTGCATGTGTGTGTGTATGCTTGTGCGTGCGTGTGTGCTTGTGCATGCATGTGTGTGCTTGTATATGCTTGTGCTTGCATGTGTGTGCTTGTATATGCTTGTGTGTGTATGCTTGTGTGTGTGTATGATTGTGTGTATATGCTCGTGTGTGTGCTTGTATGTGTATGCTTGTGCGTATGCGTATGCGTGCGTTCACCTTCGCGAATCCTTACGCCCACGCTGTTCCCGTCACGTTCTGCAGGTACGGCCAGCTGTCTGGGATGGTTGAGCCTGTTGCCGGGGTGCTTGGTTGCGTGTTTGTGGGCATCGCTGAGCCCGCGCTCCCGTTTGCGCTCGCGTTTGCTGCCGGCGCCATGATCTACGTTGTCCTTGACGACATTGTTCCTGAAGTCTGCGCAGGGTCAGTTGCTGTGCCGCTGCTGTATTGGTGCTTTTGTGTGCGTGTGTGTGTGTGAGGTTGTGTGAGGTTGTGTGTGTGTGTGTGCTTGTGTATGCTTGTGTGTGTGTGAGTTTGTGTATGCTTGTGTGTGTGTGTGTGTGTGAGTTTGTGTGAGTTTGTGCGTGTGTGTGTGTGTGTGCTTTTGTGTTTGTTTGTTTGTTTGTGCGGTGAAGTGGTGTTGCGTTGTCCTTATGCTGTGTTTATGTGTGAAGTACTTGTTGCGCATCATTCATTCTCCCCTACCTGGACCGCCTCGCCCTCCACTCACACGACCTCAGGCCCAACGCCACGTTTGCCAACTGGTCGGCGATGGTCGGGTTTGTCGTCATGATGTCCCTAGATGTCGCCCTCGGCTGATGCTGACGATGCCGGCCATGATGGTGGCGGCTTTGACGCAGTGTTCGAGTTTGCCCGTGTTTGTCTGTGTTTGTGGATTTGATTGTACATATCTTCTGGTTTGCCTGCTTCTTTCACTCAACAGCGCACGCTGTTTTGCTTTCTTGGTTACATACAGTTCACGTCTCCCTCCACGCGCGTGTCTGTGCAACATGTTTGACTGTGGCTGAGGTTCGTGTACATCAGCAATTTACTTCTTTGTCTCGAAAAGTAAACAACAACAGCAACACGTTCGCGTGCCCCCATCCCTCAGGCGACGGCATATGCCACAGAACACCACCGCCAGCCATCCCCATCATCACGACGAAGAAGCTCTATGACAACGGCACCACAGTGCGGCCTCACGTCTTCTTCGGCGTCTTGCGGGCGAGGGAGCGACGTCTGCTTGCACGCGTCTGCAGTGGTGAGAGCTCGTTTGTGTTCACCTTTGGCGGCGTCACCTCCCGTGTTCGCCGCCGCCGTGTGCTCATCGGTGTGGCAGCCACGCTCCGCGTCACACGCCGCTTGGGCGTCTCGGGCTTCTCCTCCTCTTCCTCCTCCTCTTCCTTGGCCGGCTCTTCCTCTTCCTCGTCCATCGCTGCATCCTCATCCTCCTCTTGCTGTTGTTCCTCCTCATCCTCCTCTTGCTGTTGTTCCTCCTCATCCTCATCCTCCTCATCATCCTCCTCCTCCTCATTCTCCTCCTCCTCATTCTCTTCACCCTCTTCCTCTTCCTCATCGTCACCCTTCTCTTCACCCTCTTCCTCATCCTCCTCTTCCTCCTCCTCCTCATCATCATCCTCCCCCATTGCTGCGCCGCCCGCCAGCTCGCCGCCGGGGAATCGCCCGTCCTTCAGCTCGTCCAGCGCCTGCCATCAAGTCGTACCACCGTGAGCAGTCGGCGAGTAACCACACAAAAGAGTACAAACGCAATGAACCACACCCACACCCACACCCCCCCCCCACACACACACACAACGCAATGAACCACTTCAACAACAATCAAAAGATATCGCACACTGATACACACACATGTAAGCAAAGCGTGCTCACGCCCGCACACAAGTTATGTCAACCCCCCCCCCCACACACACACACGCAAAACACCGTCACTGCCGCGTCTCCCTTTGAGCGCACCTGAAGCAAGAGCTTGACGCCAGGAGAGAGGTCGTCCTCGGCGAGCTGCGGCACGAGCGAGCGCACCTCTGCAGCCAGCGTGCTGCACTTCTCTCCGCTCTCCACCAAACTCAGCAGCACAAACGCGCCCCGGTTGCACGCCATCATCGCCTCCACTTTGTTCTTCTCGTCAATGGCGCTCATCAGCGTGGCCGCAAACGACTTGGGCGTGTCTGCGTTTGTGGGGGGGGGGGAGGGTTGGTGGCGTGAAGCGGCAGATACGCACACGTAAGCGTGGTCGCGGGAAAGCATGGTGAAACACAAATGCATATCAAACATATCAAAGAACAACATGCAACACCAAAGCCACGACTTTTAGCGCTCTTTTGTGTGTGCATACCGTTGTCCACGACGTGAGCAAGCTTCTTGAGGATTTTGTGTCCGCACGCGTGCTCAAAGATGGGGTCCTCCTTCTTCACGGCGTCGGCGACAATCGCCTCATATGCCGCAGTTTTGTCGCCTGACAGTTGGATAGGGAAGCGAGGTTTGAGAGCAAGGTGTGAGGACTGGGCCGAAGCCGCACGTGCAACCAAGCACCAAATGTAACCGCACGAATCCAAGCACAAACACAAGAACAAGCAAGCAAGCAAGCAAGCAAACACACACACACACACACACAAGCAAGCACACACGATGCAACGCAACATGCGCGCGCATACGCACCCTTGCACTGCGAGAGGATTTCGACGACGAGGAGGCCTGTCTGGCCCATGCGGGCGAGGGCGGGACCGTGGGCAGCGACAACCTTCACCAGTGTCGACGACACCATCTTCAGCAGCTCAGCACGGCGCATCGACGGATCTTTCTTGCTGTGGTGGTGGTGGGGGAGACGCAATGGCAGAAGCAGCAGTGGCGTTAATGATGATGAGGCCAATGGCGCTGGTGATGGCGAAGGCGCGAGAGGCGGAGAGGCACCCTGCATCCTCATCGCCATCCCGTCAACCTGTGTCGTCAATGCCCCACCGTGGACTGGTTGGCAACGCACCTGAACGGACTGTCGTCGAGCTCCTGCATGATCTTGAGCGTTGCTGGCGGGAAATACAGCGGCGAGCGGTGGGCAGTCAGGTACAGCAGCACCTGGGCATCGCGTGGATAAGGGGGGGGGGCGCAGAGTATGAAACAAGGAAGGGTGTGTGTGGGTTGGCATGACGACAGCATTCAAGCCACGGAAGTGTGCAACAGATTGTGGACACACGGTGTGTGTGTGTGTGTGTGTGTGTGTGTGTGTGTGCGTGTGTGTGCGTGTGTGTGTGTGTGTGTGTGTGCGCGCGCGCGCGCGTGTGTGTGTGTGTGTGTGTGTGTGTGTGCGTGTGTGTGTGTTTTCTGACCTTCCTGCCAAAGGGGTCCATGGCGATTTCATCGATGCTGGCCGCGAGTGGCTGCACAATCTGCTTCTTCACCAGCACCGTGTCATCAACAAGGTCAAACACCCCCATCAGCACCATGTGCCCGTACTCCTCCTTGGCAATCTGTGGTCGCGAGTGTGCGTGCGCAGGCGCGAGTGAGTGAGAATAGGGGATTTACATGCATGCGCGTGTGGTGCGATGCACAAACAAGCGTGTGGTGTGTTGTGGTGTGCGAGTGAGTGAGCGTGTACTCTGAACCAAAGAAAACAAAAGCGCGACGCCACCAAGCCAGCGTTGAATTGCACACACGCGCGTGCGCACACGCACACGCACACACACTCACACACACACACCTTGTCGACGTAAGGTTTGAAGGAACGAAGAATGACCTTGCGGTCCTTTGCATTTGTGTGCTTGAGCACAAGCAGTGACAACTGGCTGCCCTCCTTCGTGTGCAGCCTGGAAGGTGTGCAATGCGATTGCATAGTCAAGTTGGAAATACACAAATGAGGTCATGAGGGCATAGAACAAAGACACGTGATGATGTGCGTGTTTTTTTTTTTGGGGGGGGGGGAAGGGCGTGGGCGGCAAGACCGCTTCCACTAAGTACACGGATGCGCTCTCGTACACACACACAAACACACGCACACACACACACACACGCACACACACACACACACGCACACGCACACACGCACACACACACACACTCATTGACTCACATTTCGACAATGAGCTCCTTGACCATGTCGATGAGCTCGTTCCTGTCGGCCTCGGGCGCGTAACGAAGAAAGTCCAGCAGCACGTGGTGCACAATGTGATGCGCGCAGATGCCTGCAGCCAAGGTGAAGGTGAAGGGCAGCACAAGCGAAGAGCGGGGGGGTTGCAGTTACAGCAGGTGTCGTGAGCAAATACGTGAACATGGATACATACGCACGCACACGCACACACACACGGATGGGGCTCGCATACACATGCAAACGCAAATCACACACACAACACAACACACACACACACACTGTTCGCTAGTCCGACATATTCCTCCCTCCTCATGCGTATCAGCGGGGGGAACTGACCCTTGCCCATGAGCGGCACCAGAGTGTCCTTCATGCGCTTGATGACGAACGACTGCTTGTCCGGCTGCGCCTCGAGAAAGTCGCCCAGCGTCTTCTTCCCATTCATCTGCACACACACACACACATGTGATTGAGAGAATGGGCGGGGGGTGAGAAGGGTGGATGGCAGGGGCACTGTTGGGTGCGTTGTTGGCGCGGGTAGCAAGGAAGCAAAAGCATGACACCAACACAACAAAGCTGTTGTGGCTCGTTGCCGTGCTTCACCAAATCCACACGACGACACCACCATCGGCTTGGATCGACTCACGTTGAAGAGGACAAAGTGCGGACCGTAGAATTCCTGCAGCAGTGCGGCCTTCTGGCGGGCGGAGGCAAAGTCGATGTACGCCGTGGCCAGCACCGCACCAGGCACCTGCACACACACACACACACACACACATGTATACACAGGAGTGGGTGGAAAGGTGAGCACGAGAGCTGGGTGCGGATGTGTTGAGAAGTGCCCTTGCTCAACGAGTCAGGCCATGTGATGGGAAGACAGACACGTGCATTGACGCGAGAATGAGTGGCGTGTGATCGTGTGGAGAGCCTCGTGGTGGACTTGTGGGGTGACGTACGCGCTGGCGGATGAGCTTGCGCACATGCCCGTAAAACTGTTCAATGATGTGATCGCGCTGCTTCCGTGTTCTGGTACGCGTGTGACGCGTGTGTGTTTGTGCGTATGCGTATGCGTGTGTATGTGAGTGAGAGTGAGAGTGAGAGTGAAAGCAAGAACACATCCATGAAAGAAGCACGTGTACCGCTTGACGCACAAACACACACACACACACACACAAGCATGTGCAGGGCGTCCAGCCCAGAGCCCGTGAGGCGTTGTCTCACCCGTGTCTGAGCATGGAGAGGACGGTAAAGCTCGAGTACTTGATCTTGCTGAGGCGAATGACCTGATCTGCACGCGTACACACAGTCAACCGCAGTATTGGGACGGAGGAAGAAGGTGAGAACTTGGCACAGCAAACATTCATACGAAACTCACACAAGGCCTGCGAGGGTTTCCATAGCCTCCTCCTCAAACACGTTTCGAATAAGATTGCATCAGCATGGCCACAGACAGACAGACAGGCAGACAGGCACAAACAGAAACACAAACAGACAAACAGACAGACAGGCACAAATAGACACCCACAGACAGACAGACACATACGCACACGAGCCACAAACAACCAACACGCACATACATGCCCCTTACCCTTGAGCTCGTCGAAGATGGCCTGGCGCTGCTCCTCGTTGCCATACTTGAAGACAGACTGGATCACACGCGCTGCATCGTGCTGGCACGCGACCTGATTTGTGGCGGCGAGTGCACGGGCGAGAGCGCAGAAGACAACAGAGAGGTAATGGTTGGGCATGAGGGATGATGCAAAAGGATCACCGCGGGACCACTCAGGGAGAGTGGGCGCGCAAGCCTTCTCAGGCTAGATATTGAACACCAAGGCTTCAGTATTGCAGAATTCCGTTTTGTACATGTGGTTGATCTCCGCATGTGCGTCAAAATGAAGACGCATTGGAGTAACGCATCGCACATGCAATCATCACCAGCCATGGCAAGGAGAGAGGCAAGGGAAAGGAGAGAGGAGAGGGAGAGAGAGAGAGAGAGAGAGAGAGAGAGAGAGAGAGAGAGAGAGAGAGAGAGAGAGAGAGAGAGAGAGAGAGAGACAGAGACAGAGAGACAGAGACAGAGAGACAGAGAGAGACAGACAGAGAGAGAGAGACAGACAGACAGAGAGACAGACAGCGAGAGAGAGAGAGACAGACAGAGAGACAGACAGCGAGAGAGAGAGAGACAGGAAAGACAAGGAAAAGACAAACAAAGGGGGAAGAGATGCGCAGATGTGCGCGTGTGTGTTGTTTACGCATCGTGTGTTTGCGTGTGTCTTGTTTGCACATCGTGTCCAACAGACGTACCTCGATGAACTTGCCGCGTGCGAGCTCCATGATCTGACTAATGTACTTCTGCCGTTCCTGAACTGGGAGCTGCCTGAGACGCGCCTTCTCCCACAACGTCTTGACTTCTGTGAGCATGGTGAAGTTAGGGTTGCTCTCTGTCTTGCGCTGCTTCCTCAGCTCCTTCTGCTCCTTGTGTGTGCTGGCGACTGTCAAGGCAACACAAAGGGGAACAAGGGACAATGAATACGCGAATCGAATGACAGCAAAACAACGACTGAGTTCGAACGGTGCAGCCAACCAAGCAAGCAATCGCTCGACAAAACAAACCTACACCCCCACCCACGATCTCAAAGTACAGTCAAACTGCACGTATGGCGGCACGCGCGATCAAGCAAGTCTCATGTTCACGCACTTTTCCGCGCCGGCGCCCCTGTGGGCTTCTTGGACTTCTTGCTTGGGTTGGTGGAATCGCGGCCAGCACTGCTGCGCTTGCTGTGCTTGCCGTCCTTCCTCTTACCAGCACCACCAGCACCACCAGCACCACCAGCACCACCAGCACCGCTGCTGCTGCTGCTGCTACTGCCATTGTGGGCCTTCTTCTTGTGCATCTGCTTCTCCCCAGCCATCTTTGCTTGCTTGCCTGCCTGTTGCCTTTTGTGCTTGTCTCAAGACACGTGGTGGGAAAGTCGAAATTGCGTTTGCGCCTCAAAGTCAAAATTGACATTGAACGCCAACAGAGAGAGAGAGAGAGAGAGAGAGAGAGAGAGAGAGAGAGAGAGACAGGAAAGACAAGGAAAGACAAACAAAGGGGAGGAGAGATGCGCAGATGTGCGCGTGTGTGTTGTTTACGCATCGTGTGTTTCCGTGTGTCTTGTTGCACATCGTGTCCAACAGACGTACCTCGATGAATTTGCCGCGTGCGAGCTCCATGATCTGACTAATGTACTTCTGCCGTTCCTGAACTGGGAGCTGCCTGAGACGCGCCTTCTCCCACAACGTCTTGACTTCTGTGAGCATGGTGAAGTTAGGGTTGCTCTCTGTCTTGCGCTGCTTCCTCAGCTCCTTCTGCTCCTTGTGTGTGCTGGCGACTGTCAAGGCAACACAAAGGGGAACAAGGGACAATGAATACGCGAATCGAATGACAGCAAAACAACGACTGAGTTCGAACGGTGCAGCCAACCAAGCAAGCAATCGCTCGACAAAACAAACCTACACCCCCACCCACGATCTCAAAGTACAGTCAAACTGCACGTATGGCGGCACGCGCGATCAAGCAAGTCTCATGTTCACGCACTTTTCCGCGCCGGCGCCCCTGTGGGCTTCTTGGACTTCTTGCTTGGGTTGGTGGAATCGCGGCCAGCACTGCTGCGCTTGCTGTGCTTGCCGTCCTTCCTCTTACCAGCACCACCAGCACCACCAGCACCACCAGCACCACCAGCACCGCTGCTGCTGCTGCTGCTACTGCCATTGTGGGCCTTCTTCTTGTGCATCTGCTTCTCCCCAGCCATCTTTGCTTGCTTGCCTGCCTGTTGCCTTTTGTGCTTGTCTCAAGACACGTGGTGGGAAAGTCGAAATTGCGTTTGCGCCTCAAAGTCAAAATTGACATTGAACGCCAACTGCAAGGACGAGAGAAAGCAGCCGCAACGTGCGCGAACGACAAACAACACAAGCAGTGGACAGCCTGCAGCAACACAACACAACAGAACACCATTCGCCAAGCACTCATTGCCCAGCCGCGCATCAGTGCACGCACACTCACTGCACACACACTCGCTGCACACACACACTCACTGCACACACTCACTGCACACACACGAGAGTCAAGATGAGCAGCTACTCTGATCTGGACAGACAGATCGACAAACTGCGGCGATGCGAGCTGATCACAGAGGACCAAGTCCAACAACTATGCATCATGGCAAGGTTAGTCCTGCACGCATGCGAGCGCATTTGCCGCATCCGCTCGGTTTTCGCGCCTCCACAACAGTGGCCTTGTTGATGTTAGGGACTAACGTTCTTGTTGACCCCAATACAAGCCTTTGCTGCCCTCGGCACCCCATCCTTTCACCTGCTCATTTGCGCTTTGTTGACAACACCAACGGCAGGGACATCTTGATGGAGGAAGGCAACGTTCACAGTCTCAGCAGCCCAATCACGGTGTGTGTGTGTTTGTGTGTGTGTGTGTGTTTGTGTTTGTGTGTATTCGCGTACTTGTGTGTGTATATGTGTATGTGTGTATTTTTTTTGTTTTGGGCACATGTGTGTTTGTGTTTTGGCGGGAGGCGGGAGGCGTGGCGCAATACACGTGCGCCCACTGATTCAGTTCTGATTTCTCACTCTGCCACTGCCGCATTGATTGCGTGTCAGATATGTGGCGACATTCACGGCCAATTCTACGACCTGATGGAGCTGTTTGAGGTGCGCCTGCATGGTGTGTGTGTGTGTGTGTGTGTGTGTGTGTGTGTGTGTGTGTGTGTGTATGTGTGTGGCTGCCGAGTGTGGGCGATGGGCCTACACGCTTGACTCACACGTGTTGGGCGATGGTGTTGCAGATCGGAGGCGATGTTCCCCACAGACAATACCTCTTTCTCGGCGACTACGTCGATCGTGGCTTCTACAGCGTGGAGACTTTTCTCCTCCTCCTTGCGTTGAAGGTGTGTGCCTGTGTGTGTGCGTGAGTTCAATTGATGGTGGAGCTCATGTGATGCTGCAACGCTGTTGCGTACGGCTGGTTTGGAACATGGCAAGTCTACGCTGCCTCTCAGTCTCACCGCTGTTGTTGTGGGTCGCGCCGTGTGACAGGTCCGGTTTCCCGATCGCATCATGCTCATTCGCGGCAACCACGAGAGCAGACAAATTACACAGGTGCGTTGGTGCGCCTGTGGTGTGGCACTGCATTGTGGCATTGGATGACGCCGTTGGTTGATGCATCCCCCGACATCTCCGACTGACAGCGGTCGCTGACTGACTGCTTGCCCTCGCCTGCAGGTGTATGGGTTCTATGACGAATGTTTGCGGAAATACGGCTCAGCACACGTCTGGCAGTGAGTTTGTGGCGTGCTGTGAGGCGTGCCTTGTTTCGTGCTGTGCTGTGTTTCGCAGTTGCGTGGCGCACATGTGTACAGGGCGTGCGTGACGCTGGGCGGGTGGACGAGCAAGCGAGCGACCGCATCACGTGACATCGCTTTTCAACACGACAGCGGCTCACTTAAGTGTGCTCCCAACCCCATTGCAGCCTGTGCACGGATGTGTTTGACTACCTGCCGCTCGGTGCGCTGATTGACAACCGCGTGCTGTGTGTGCACGGCGGCCTGTCTCCGTCACTGCACACCATTGACGGCATCCGCGTCATTGATCGCAAGGTCGAGGTCCCGCACCAGGGGCCTATGTGCGACCTCCTCTGGTCCGACCCAGAAGGTCAGCACCCCTCGTGTGTGTGTGTGCGTGTGTGTGTGTGTGCGTGTGTGTGTGTGTGTGTGTGTGTGTGTGTGTGCGTGTGTGTGTGTGCGTGTGTGTGTGTGTGTGTGTGTGTGTGTGTGTGTGTGCGTGTGTGTGGGTGTGTGGGTGTGGGTGTGGGTGTGGGTGTGGGTGTGGGTGTGTGTGTGCGTGTGCGTGTGTATATGTGTGTGTATCTGTATGTGTGTTTGTGTGTCTCCACCTGCTGTCCTTCCTCATCCACTGTACCCATGGCGTGTGCAGGATCGCTCGACCACTGGGGCGTCAGTCCTCGCGGCGCTGGTTTCCTCTTCGGCTCAAAGGCCGTCGATGAGGTGCGATGCAATGTGATGCGACGTCGTGCGACGTGGCGTGATGTGTGCGCATGCGAGTATCTGTGCTTGTCTGTGTTTGCCTTGGTTGTCTTTTGCATTGTCTTCTGTTGGTCTGTCTCCCTCACTGCCTCACGCCTGCCACTGCCGGCCGACTGCGCATCTGGCGTGCAGTTTACGAGCCAGAACGACATTGCGATGATCTGCCGCGCACACCAACTGGTGATGGAGGGCTTCAAGTGGCACTTCAACAAGCGCGTCCTCACCATCTGGTCCGCTCCGAACTACTGCTACAGGTACCACTCATTGCTTGTGTGTGTGCTTGCGTGCGTGTGTGTCTGTCTGTGTGTCTGTCTGTGTGTGTGTCTGTCTGTGTGTCTGTCTATGTGTGTGTGTGTCTGTCTATGTGTGTGTGTGTGTCTGTCTGTCTGTCCGTCTGTCGGTGCATGCATGACTGATGTGCCCTCCTTCCCTCCCTCCCTCGCTGCCCCACTGCTCTCATTGACATAAAACCCAACTTACGCTTGCCCTCCTCCCCCCGTTTTCAATACACACACGCACACGTACACACGCACGCTTCCCGCTGTCGAAGGTGCGGGAACGTTGCGAGTCTGTTTGAGTTCCGCGGGCTGGATGCGACGCCGCGGTACCAGTTCAAGATGTTCAACGAGGCGCCCGCAGAGACGCGCGGCAACCCGGCCCGCCCAGCAGCGCCAGACTACTTTCTCTAGCGCCACACCCAGCACGGTGATGAGTGGTGGTTGGAGTTGAGAGAGCACTGTTGTTATCTGGTGGTGCTGCAACATGTGGTGCAAGCGGCGGTGGTAGTGGTGGTGGTGGTGGTGGTGGTGGTGGTGGGCGTGTTTGCTTATGGTGCACTGCCGTTGGCGTTGTTCGTGTTGTGGGTGCAATCACATGTGTAAATGGCTATCAGCTTCAATGCAGAAATTACACAAAGAAAGAGCACACGCGCATGCGCGCGCAATCGTAACGGAAGAAGCATGATGGTGATGGAGACAGGGACGAAACGGGACACAAAGGGCCTTGGAAACAGCACACGCGCGAACGAAAGGGACGAAGGGAAGGATGGAATGCACGTGTAAAGATGAGCAATGCACCCGTTGCCAGCAACGAGTGAGCCAGCGAACATGATGATGATGATGATGATGATGATGATGATGATGATGATGATGATGATGATGATGATGATGATGATGATGATGATGATGATGATGATGATGATGATGATGATGATGATGATGATGATGATGATGATGATGATGATGATGATGATGATGATGATGATGATGATGATGATGC